ATTTTTCTGTGCCCCTGGGGGAAACGTTTCTGGGGCCCCTTAAGTAACGGTTCTCGGGCCCCCTCAGAAACAATTCTGGGGTCCCTCAGTAACAATTTTGTGTTGCCCCCTGAAAACCCAATTCTTTTGCCCCTAATTTAACGTTTCTGGGGCCCCTAAAGAAAACGGTTCTGGGGCCCCTCAGTAAAAATTCGGGTTGCCCCTGATTTAACGTTTCGTGGCCTTAAGAAAGGTTCTGTGTCCCTCAGAAACCCAATTCTGTGTCCCTCAGAAAAAAATTCTGTGTTGTCCGGGAGTAATTTTTCTTTTCCCCCTTTAAGTAACGTTTCTGGGGGCCTAAGTAACGGTTCTGGGGCCCCTCAGTAAAAAAATTTCTGTGTCCCGGGAGAAACGTTTCTGTGGCCCCCTAAGTAACTTTTTTTCTGGGGCCCCTCAGAAACAATTCTGTGTCCTCAGTAAAAAATTTTGTGTCTGTCCCGGATTAACAATTCTGGGGGCCCTAAGAAACGTTTCTGGGGCCCCAAAGTAAGGGTTTTCTGGGGGCCCTCAGTAACAATTCTGTGTCCCTGGTAACGTTTCGGGTGGCCCAATTTAAGGGTTTTCTGTGGCCCTACTGTAACAATGCATGTGGCCCTCAGTTAACAATTCTGTGTCTGTCCTGGTAACAAATTCTGTGGCCCAATAACGTTTCTGGGCCCTAAAGTAACGATTCTGTGGCCCTCATAACATCTGTGTCCTGTCCCTGAGGTAACAATTCAGTGGCCCCTAACTAACGATTCTGTTGGCCCTATAGTAACGGTTCAGTGGCCCTCAGTATACAATTCTGTGTCCCTGAGTAACGCTTCTGTGGCCCTAAAGTAACGGTTCTGTGGCCCTCAGTATACAAATCTTTTGTCCCTGAGTAACGATTCTGTGGCCCTACAGTAAACGGTTCTGTGGCCACAGTAACAAATCATGAGGCCCACAGTAACATTCTGTGTCTGTCCCTGAGTAACAAATTCTGTGGCCCTATTCTATAACGTTTCTGTGGCCCTAAGTAAACGATTTCTGTGGCCCTCAGTAACAATTACTGTGCTTCCCTGATCGTATACGTTTTCTGTGGCCCTAAGTAACGGTTCTGTGGCACTCAGTAACTATTCTGTGTCTTGTCCCTGAGTAACGCAAATATCTGTGGGCACTAACTAAACATTTTCTGTGGCCATAAGTTACACGTTCTGTGGCCCTCGAGTAACAATTCTGGGTCCCTGAGTAAGGTTTCTGTGGCCTCTCAGTAACAATTCTGTGGCCCTCAGTATACAATTCTGTGTCTGTCCCTGAGTAACAATTCTGTGGCCTCTAACTAACGTTTCTGTGGCCCTAAGTAACGATTCTGTGGCCATCAGTAAAACAATTCTGTGTCCCCTGAGTAACATTTCTCTGTCCCTAAGTAACGTTTCTCTGTCCCTAAGTAACGTTTCTCTGTCCCTAAGTAACGTTTCTGTGGCCCTAACTCTGTCCCTAATACAGAGCGGTCTGCCTCTCTTGAATGACTGGAGGCAAATGGAGAATTCTAAAATGGCCGCCATTTATAGCTCGACCATTACACAGTGCTGGCTGGCTGGCTGCTGATTGGCTAATGCGATCACATGTCATTAATGAATGCATTATGGGTCAGCGCGCCTTGTCTGCGCGCCTTCCCAGACATCCCCGCTCCGTCGCCGCACATGTCGCCGCCATTTTAGGAAAAATTTCGATTCGCGCATCCGAAGTATGATAATTTTCGGATTCGGCGCAAATCGAAATTTTTCCCCCCCCAATATTTCGAAAACGAATTCCACTTCGCCTACTTCGATTCGCTCATTTCTAAATATTTATTTGATTATATTTGCTGATTGCACTATGATTTAATTTATGTGATGGTTATATATTTGGTAAGCTAGAGGAAGCAGTGCACTGGTGTTTGGTTTTTCATTTATTTTACACATCCTACCCAATTGTGGTTTAGGTGCTGGTCTCTGATATTTAAGGTCTACTAAGCACAGGATTAATATTTCTTTTCTATTTTATTAAAATAATGCTCCTGTTATGAAGGTCTTTTTGCACAGGCACTTTCTGTGATAGGGTAACGACACTCTGTCCCCATCTCCTAAATTGTCCTCCTGCATTGTTAACCTCCCTGGAGGTATTCCTGAGTCTAGCTCGTGGTAAAGTTTCAGCACCACAAGCGATAACCCCGAGCTACACTCGGGAATACCCTGCAGTGTTGCTCCGGGATCTCTTCTGCATTTACCTTGTCCTGTGCTCCCGCAATGTCCCCCCTGCAGTGTCCCTGGCAATGTCCTCCGGCCGATGCCTGGAGGTTTTCGTTCCCTGCGCGTCAGGACGTACGGGGACAGAACTGGTGGGAAATTTTTAAAATTTTAAAAGTGACATTCACTAAAAATCACATAGTAAAACTTTATTGTATCATACCATTTCACATACATTTTGTCCCTGGTGCCTTGTCCTGTGCCCTGCCTGCATTTTTACTGTTCTTTCTGCCTTGAAACCGAGAAATGTCCATGGCATCCAAAAAGCGTCCCTTTAGGTCAAAAACTGTTTTAGACCAGCTAGAGAACAGTGATAGTAAATTAGAACCACTTGCAGAATTGAGTGATAATGATTAGTGGGGAAATTCGTCATCAGACACTGAAAACGATTTTGCGACTGAGCTCAGTGATGTGCAAACTTGGCGCTATATTTCAAATTTCAGTGTTTTTGGTTTGATTATATTATTGCATTAAATTTATTATTATTATATTATTATTTTTTATGATTATTTATTAAATTATAATTTATGATTTCGTGTTTCAAATTTTAACATACCCGGGATTTTTACTAGACTCTTGTTTGGACAGATTTCAATGTGTTAATCCTAAAAATGAAAGGCCTACAATAAAAAAAAACAACATATTTCCATGCAAAAAAATTTTACCACTTTGAGCACAGAAATATGGACATAATCAGACTGCTAGGGAAGCTACCTTGTTCCATGCTTTTCCAATGAAGACTACAGGCAGCTATGTCAGAGCACATTTCAAATCCCTAAAAATGAACTATAGCAGTTGCTGGAGAACATGCAAATAGACAGGATGTGGCTACAAAGACGCTGATATGTAGCAAAGGATAAAATAAAGGTAAAAACAAGTTGATTATGATCCACAGTGCTTTAGAAAATTTAAATTCATTAGGGTTTCTGTATATTTTAAGATAATAAATATTACTGTTGGGATTTGTGTTTTCCTAGGAGAATTTGAATTTATAAAGAAAATTAATCCTTTGGGAATGATATGCAGACACAGTGCTATTGTTGACAGTTGGCCCTGCATGTTATAAATAATGACATTCATCTTGAAACTCTTTCAACACCTGAATACTTATTGAGCATTAGATGTGATGTCATCTAATCATACCATATTTATATTAGCAGGATTTAAATTTAGTCCTGAGATTCAGAGTACAGTGTTTGTAGTGGTGCTTTTGGTTTATGCTTTGTCAATATTGGGCAACATAACCATATTCACTGTGATATGCTTGGAAAGGTCTCTCCATACGCCTATGTATTTTTTCCTAAGCAGCTTGGCAATTGAGGATATGGGTTTTATCTCCAGCACTGTACCTATGCTCCTCTTTATTATGGCTACTGGCAATGGAAGCATATCTCAAAAGAACTGCTTCATGCAGCTTTATTTCTACATGTCCTTTGGCTCTGTAGAGTTTTTACTGTTGGCATTTATGTCTGTGGATCGGTACGTGGCACTTTCCTATCCCCTGAGATACCGCAACATAATCACTGACCGGACATGTTTCTATTTGATTCTAATATCCTGGGTATCTGGTTTCTTTATGTTCCTCTATTCCATTTTATTACTATCCAATCTGTCCTTCTGTGGTCCCTTTGAGGTCAATCACTTCTTCTGTGATGCTTCCGTGTTGGTCAAAATAAGCTGTTCAGACTCATCATTTTTTAACACAATCTTCGCCATTTCTGCAGCATCTATAGTCCTAATATCATTTCTTGTCACTTGTGTATCATATAGGTCTGTCATTGGTGCAGTAATGAAGATTAAGTCCTCAACAGGAAAGAGGAAAGCCTTTTCCACATGCAGCTCTCATTTTATTGCTGTAACATTGTTATATTTAACTGTCATATTTCTTTATGTAAGAACAGCTGGCAGTGTCTCTAATGACTTAAATAAAGCAATTAGCATAATCAATAGCATCTTGTCACCATTCAGTAATCCATTTATATACAGCCTGAGGAATGATAAAGTTCAGGAGGCATTCTGGAAGGTTTTGAATATTCACAAAGAGAAAGAAAATCAACCTATTCCATGATCTTCACCACATTTGCAGCAACCGTAAAGTAACACTAAATGATATCCTTATTCTCCAAGACTAATTCATACACTTCTACTACCTAATGGCCCTGTATTATATTTTTTCATTAAATTGTTTCTTACTCTGTTTTTCTGCCTCCTTTTACAGCTCTCTTTGAGCTTCTGAACCTCACCTTTCTCTAATTTCCATTTGTTTGGAACAAGCATTATATGTTAGTTACGATCATGCTCACTGCTCAAAGCACATTACAAATCCTATAGTCCTTAGTTAATCTCAGGAGTGAGGGTTGCCATGTTCCTACATGCAGTGGGACCATGGAGAATGCTCCCCTCTAACATGAAGTCAGATCAAAGCAGAGAAAGCAAGGGATTTGGAGATTTGGAGGAGGCTGAGAGCAATAGAAAGTACTTTTTGAGCTAAAAATATATAATTGAATAGAAGTTCAATAGAAATAGAACCACAATTTATTATCCCCTTAATGCTAGCAACATTTACATTGGCATCATACAGCTATGACATTGCTAAAGATCACCACACACGTTATAATATGTTTCTACGAATTCCTTTAGATATACCAACATGTATGTACTGCATGAGCCACCTGATTGGATATATTTTATTGTATAGATTAGGTAAATCCTCATATTACACAGCTTTGGTAGATCTAATGTTGACTGTACAGAGATTATACAGTCACATTGTAACATGTATAGTACATTCTAAGAAAATGTATAAGAAGCTATCTACTGCTAATGTATAAGCTACTGTTTTTTTTAAATGTTAGTTGTCTAACTGATATAGTTTTGCTGTCAGGACCTGGATCAACTGTTGGTGGCACTGTGCTTTCCAGAGCAGACGTTTTGTAGTTCCCGTGTCCACGGTAGGTGTCTCTCAGCAGCCAGCACATCCCAGTTATCAGTTTCCACTTGATGCTGGCTGCTTGGAGGGTATTTATTTCCTCCTCTACATTTCCCCCTTGCGCCAGTGTTTTGCTTGCTGCCAGATTCTACTATCCGTTATCCTGTTTCTGTTCCTGGTCCTGCCCTGTATGTTGTGCCCTGAATCCTGCTGCATTGTACCTGCTCTCCCTTGTTCTTCATCCTAGTTTTGGTTCCCCCTTTCCATCTGCTCCCTGCACCTCCAGTTTCTCCCTGCTTATCTAGGTTCCCCATTTTGTATATAGTTAGTTGTTAGTTAGGATTTCTGTTTGTTAGTTATTAATCAGGTATTTTGTCACTGGGTTTTTGTTTCACTTATATTTTTATGTTTGCTGTATATTGGTATTTGGTCCCACTCGCCTGATATGGCCATCCCTGCTGCTGATTCCTGACAGCTGCAAAGGCATAATGCTTACTGAATATACATTCAACAACGGTAGCCTCAGTATTTCTTTCAGAGTAGTCTTTAGTGGTAGTCATAGTAGAAACTGGAAAACCTGCTCTACATGCAGCTCCCACATGACTCCAGTTATCATGGTATTATTGGCCATACCTATCAACTTCAAATTTTCCCTCTCTGCATTTAAATCATTTCAATTTGCCTGTTGGCCATCGTTATGCATGTCTTAGAGGAATGTAAAACCTAACTTCAATAAAAATCATCATCTTTTTATTTTAGCTATTTCATCTTACAAAATATTACCTCTCTAACTGTAAATAGCATTGTTATCTCTATCTACAATTTTACTGACTCTTTGTAACTGCTAACTAAAATGTAGCTTCACTTGCGGTAAGCAAATGTGCCTGGGTTAAATCTGTGGGCCATTCACCAAGCCCATGGCAAACTCCTCATGGAAATAGGGAATAATAATGCAATCCCCAAATAAAGGTAATATGGGGGGGGGGGGGGGGAATCTTGAAAGCCAACTCTGGCTATTTTCAGGACTAAAAGGCAATGGATTTTCAAAGGACATTAGAAACTGGGCTCTTCCAAGGGGGACATGTACCAATTGAAAATTATTTTTAAAACGTACAGTTCAGCAGGGAGAGGGTCCTCCATTTATAGCCAACATCAAGGACAACATTGAAAAAAATACCACTCCTTTCTGTTACATGCTTGTGAGATGCATTTAAGCTGTATATGGTATTATGGAACAGTACATTTTTCCAGGACATTGTTAGTGATGGAATGCTGGCATAACATAATTTGCATGTGTAAGTAATACTTTTTTTACTTTTAAATTATTGCTTGGCTGTAATAAAACAGCAGCTGTGAACAATCTGATTAATTATTATAACTAGTTAAAAATTGCCTTTTTTATGTTGTGTTGAATGCAGCATCTGATTTTTTTAACCAGCCATAATAGGCATGAATTAACTAATAGGAGTAGCAGCTAGCAATAACAAATTTTGAATCTATATGAAATTGTACTTTAAAAGCTTAAACCCTCAGCTTCATACAGATTGATTAGTTGCACAACATTTTGATAGTTTAGTGCAGGGGTGTCCAAACTTTTTTCAAAGAGGGCCAGATTGGATGAAGTGAACATGGTGGAGGGCCGAACATTTTTCCGAACATTCTTTGAACCATTACAATTAAATGCAAATAAATTATTTTATGCCAAGTTAATTGCAAATGACATACTTTTTGTTTCATAACATTAAGATCAACTGACAGCTGAGTTTTCACAATGTATTGAAAATAAATTAAAAAAAAACTTACCTGCACTAATGTGAAGGGTGAAAAAGGTAGCTGGAGCTGAAGTCTCTGCTCGGCAGCCGGGAGGGGAATAGAAACACACTTCACGCTGGAAGCCCGGCCCTGACGTCACCACCCTCTGTCGCTCCCAGCGCGGCGCAGTCACGCATGCGCACTGCTCTCAAGCAGAAGACTGTCTGCCACAGAAGGGAGGGCCGTGCGACAGCCGCATTTACACAGACCAGGGAGAATGCGCCGCAGTCAGGCATGCGCACTGCCCTCTGCTCTCAAGCAGAAGACTGTCTGCCATAGAAGGGAGGGCCACATTACACAGAGCAGGGAGGGCTGTTGGAGGGCCGTATTAAACCGACCCCCCCGGGCCGTAAATGGCCCGCGGGGCCGGACTTTGGACATGCCTGGTTTAGTGGGTATTTTTTTTTATCACAGTACCACAATGGATATTAAAAAAAAATAAAGCATCACTAAAGTAAAAAAATACATATTTACGTCTGCATCACATTTTACCATCTTTCACTCTGTATTTTCATAATTATACTGTATGTGCAATTAGTACCTGTAATATGCATAGGAAAAGAGAACTGAATTTAATTGATATCCTGGATGTCTGTGCCTGTGTCCAGTCTGCTGAATTTCTCCATTTGTAGACACAGCTGCAGACTACAAGTGTATGTGATTACAAACACTTGCCAACATTTACCAAGCAAATTAACAATACAATTACCTGTAAATCAAGCTACATCTCCTTAAAGCAGTCTAAGCAACAGGTTCAGTTCAGTGAAAATATCAACATTTAAGCTACAGACATATAGCTAGTATCATTAGCAATGTGCTTAAGGTATAACAAAAGGCAAGAAACATATTTCTTCATTTAAATGAAGGTCAGGTTAATGTAACCCAAAACAGAGTTTCCCCGTACATCACAGACTGTTTACAAGGCAACAGGAAATTCTGCAGACTCTGATGTAAAAAGGAACTCTGTGGACTGATGTAAGAGGGAAATCTGTGGAGTCTGATATACAGTAAACGGGGGAATGCTGCGCACTCTGGTGTAGAGACAAACTCTGATGTAAGGGGGTCTCTGGCCACCAGACCCCCCCTCCCCCACACACACACACACACACACATACACAAGTGTCCACAGAGCTCCCATTTACATCACAGTCCACAGGGTTCCCCCTTACATCAGACTCCAGAGCAGGGGCGGACTGACAACTCATGGGGCCCCAGGCAATAGGGGATCATGGGGCCCCTGTTTCCTTGCCCAACTCAAAAAAAGACTATGAAAAGGTACCAGGGGCATCTCATGGGCCCCCTACTGACCTCCCGGGCAATAGGGGATCATGGGGCCCCTCTGTCCTTGCCCAAACTCAAAAAAGTCTATGAAAATGTTACCATGGGTATCTCATGGGGCCCCTACTGACCCCGGGCCCTCGGGCAGTGCCCGGGTTTCCAAATGGTCAGTCCGCCCCTGCTCCAGAGTTCCTGTTTACATCACAGTCTGCAAAATTCTCTCTTACATCAGTGTTAATTTTGACATTTCGATTTAGTTTTAGTCATAGTCTTTTGACTAAAATTCCATTTTAGTTTTAGTAGTCATCTGAATGGTTTTAGTTGTATTTCAGTCAATTAAAATCTCCACAATAAACAAAAACAATAAATACCCCACGCTTCTGTGACAAATCATAAACTCAAATAATTAATGCTGCTGCTCTCATGGTAAAAACACCATACCACATGAATATAATCAATAGCACATAAATGAGTTCTTGCTGGAAAAAAATATTTTAAGCAACAGATAGCATGGATTCATGAAAGACAGAAGTTATCAAACAAATCTGATTTCTTTTTATGAAGGGGTGAGCAAAACCTTGGACAGAGGGGTGGCGGGATGGACGTGATATACTTGGATTTTGCAAAAGCGTTTGACACAGTTCCCCACACATGGCTAATGTGTAAGGTAAAGTCTATGGGCTTGGAAAAATCTGTATGTAAATGAATAGAAAACTGGCAAAAAGATCGTATTCAGAGAGTAGTGGTTAATGATTCATACCCTGAATGGTCTAGGGTTGTGTCAGTGGTGTACCCCAAGGTTCAGTGTTGGGGACCCTTACTTTTTAATATATTTATAAATGATACAAAATAAGATTAAACATCCCATTTCAGTCTTTGCAGATGACACCAAGCTGTGGAGTGGAATAACGTCCTTACAGGATGTCTTCAATTTACAAGCCGACCTCAATGCACTGTTTAATTGGGCAACTATGTGGCAAATGAGTTTTAATGTTGATAAATGTAAGGTTGTGCACTTGGGGGCTAAGAATATGCATGCATCATACATA